CCAAAATGACCTAAATTGAGCCTTTTTACTTACAAAAGGACACACAAAATACATACAAAACAAGAAAAAGTACTAAACTCTCCCCCACACTTAAACCTTGTATTGTCTATAATGCAACCTAAAAACAAGACTCAAATAGTAGATTTGAAAATACAAAAAATAAGGTAGAAAGACAACACATCACATAAAATTCAAAAACATCTTTTCCTCCTAGTACATTGATCGGATTGGAATGTCGCCTTCCAAGTCATCAAAATTTGTGATTGCACCAGATAATGTAGTATAGGGTGCAACCAATCTTTCTTCTCAAGGAGCGCTTTGTTGGAAAACAACTTAGTCTAAATTAGTAATAAAAAACATGATGATTTGGGTAAAGAAAAAAGGGGGTTCAACTGTTTAAGGTGGTGCAATAATTGAAAAGTGCAGAGGATTAAATGTTTTTGGTATTTTAATTGAATAAAGAGATGTTTTGGATTAAAAGGGAATTATGATAAAACAGTCTCTCAATGATGGAAAATCAGCTATCACTACTCTTTAAAATGATTTAGGAGTTTTAAAAAATCTCTAAGTCTACAAAAAACCCTAAGTAATCACTTGGGTCCAATGTCTTAATTAATGAAAACTCACTTTAATCAAAGTTAATTAACATCTCTTAAAAACATTATTAGAATCCACTTAGAGTATAGATGAACAGATTATGTAAATGTCCTTAGAAAGTCAATCAACAATCATTGAAGACTAAGCACACAGAGTAATCACTAATGATCCCTGATAATCAAATGAACACAAGGATTCAAAACTGATATATATAAATGATCCAATCCAAGTACATTCAATAGTCTAAACTTAAGATTTACTATCATAAATCAAGTCTAAAACAGATGCAGAAATCCCTAAATCTAGAAATCTCTAACACAGAATCAATACAAGTTTAGGTCGATAACTCCCCTATTAGATCCTTGAGCTCAAGCTTCATCCTCTATCACCAGGAGGCTGAGGGTTTAGCCTCTCATGTCTTCAAACCGATTACAATCGCTGAAGAGAGAAGAATGCGGTTGAAGTGGTTTAATCGTCTTAGAAATGTAGAAAATGATGAAGAGATGAAGGAAAAAAGAGATTTTGGGTATAGGATCAATGGAGGCTCAAGAGAGAATAGAGGAGGCTGCTATCCTTGCAAATCTGCAAAATGGAGACTCTTTTTTGTGGTGGCTACCCCCTAGGTATAGAAGCTCAGAAACCTATTCCAAAATGCACAGCTTTACTTAACACACTTAGGTCACGACCTCAAGAGTGTCAAGCTGTGACTTAGGGGGCCCAGGTCGCGACCTCAGAAATTTCATGTCATGACCTGTAGAGACAGAGAGCTTTCATCTTGACTTAAGTCCAAAACATGTAGTTTCATTAAAAGAGCATCCAGGTCGTGACCTCAAAATTCCATGTCGCGACCTAGGGAGTTAAAATACTCCAAGCTCTTGTGTTTTAGTCCTTGTAACTTGTGGCTCCATCTATGCTCCATCTTGGATCTTGGATCCTTCTCTAATTACTTGAAAATCATGACAAAGAACTTTATAAAAACTAACTGATTTCAAATCAAGGTAATTACAATTAAGGAGAGAAAAATGACCACTTTTTACCACTTAAACAGGAAAATGCAATGTATGACGTAATGTAATCAAATGGATATAAATGCATGCACAATGAGGGTAAAAGTATTGCAAAACATTAGAAAACACTTGAGAAAATCATATAAAGATTGGGTTCCATCACTCCCCCACACTTGAACCTTTGCACTCCTGAACAAAGACTTGAATCATTCCAAAGAAAGTATAGCTACAATTAAGGAAACTAGCATGTTTAAAAATGATCTCAAGAACTAATCAATCAACATCTTTTGGGGAGGCAAGAATGATAACATAAATAATGCCAAGTAATCAGATACAAAGTGTAATTGACTCTAAATGCATGAACAATAGAGATTTGCTCAAAGGGTATAAGTGTTTGATTCGCTCATCTCTCCTCATCGGGGTTCTTTTCTCTCAAACATCCAAGCAATAAACATTCTACCATAAGCTTGTAATAGCTCTAAAATCTCCACTACTACTCAGCATTCATGTAAAGAATCAAGAGGACTTTTAAGGCTATAGTAATGGAAAGGCTAGATGGAAATGAAATCAAGTGTCAATAATCAAACAAAGGTGAGTCAATATCATCCAATCTTAAACAAGGAAGTTTAGATCCTAACCTTCTACCACTAAGGGGATACTTTATTCAACTATATTTTGTTGCTGTAATTTATGTGTATGAAAAGTATTTCTTTAATCTTTTTGTTCTTTTTGCTTTTTTTTTTTAGAACTTTTCTTCCTTCTTCTTCTCTTTTTCTTCTCTTTTTTTTTTCACAAGAAAAATTAAAATTCCCAATAAAAGTTCATGACGATTAGAAAGTCGTATTTGTCAAGATGAAATCAACTCAATCAATGTCACAGTTCAAGCACCCAAAATGATGGACGAGAAGAAGGAAGTGCAGGATCAAAAGGGTTAAGCAACAGATAGATGGTTGTGGGTTGTGTTTGGATAGGAAGGTGTAGAAAAGAATGCCTTTATCATATTCAAAATCATAAATGCACACGTAATTTCGACCAAGAGCTAAAACAAGTTCTAGAGAATGTAAACCACATGAATAATCACTTAAAATAGGAATTAAGGCTCAAGAAAATCTTTCCAACAAGGGTTTCATGTCTCAAATGCTCATACAAGAAGTTTCAATCAATATGCAGTGGTCACAAGGCATTAAGACACTTATCACAAAAGCAACCCATAAGATGAGGATTAGAAAGATCAAAATAGTCACTTAAGAACATACTTGAATCTCAAAAGTGACTATAAAGTCTTTAGAGAAATCATTTTTAAAATCTAGTGTTCTTAAAAGTCTAAGGATGGACATGGTTTTCAAGAAAAACTGTTTGACGCAATGAGGATAGATTAACAGCACAATGGCTTGCTTGAAAAAGATGCAAAGGTAGTTTAAAAAGGTTCTTCCTACATAGTATTGCAAAAAGCAAAGAGAAGGAAAGTGGTGCACAGCAATTGAGGCCGAGTTGTAACCTGAAATTAGTGAGGTCGCGACATGAGTACACAGAAGCACCAAGGCAAGAAAGGGGGGTTGAGGTCGTGACCTGAGTATACAAAAGCACCAAGTCAGGAAAGGGGGGTTGAGGTTGCGACTTAAAATAAGTGAGGTAGCGACCTGAAATCACAGAGAGCCCTCCCTTGCCAAAGCCACACCTCAAGTTGTGACCTGAAGCAGTGAGGTCGCAACCTAAGGTCACAGAAACTACCAACGAAAGTTTTTCAAAGCTTAGCCAACATTTAATAAGTAAGAACCCTTTCAGCAAACATCAAAACAGACAAAAATGATCCAATTCGCAGCAATTCACCATCCCCAATCAATTCAAAGCCAAAGAATAGTGATGAAAGATTGAATTTTTGAAAAAATTTTGCCAAAAATTCTGAAACAACCACAGAAAGGATGCAACACTGGGAAACAACAAAATGAATTCCTCCCCACACTTAGACTTGACAGTGTCCCCACTGTCAAAGGAAAAGGGAAAAGAACAACAACAATCACAAATAAGAACACAGAAAACTAACCACTCATTGTAAGAGAGGACAAGAACAGCAAGGGAAGAAAATTATTGAATTGAAAAACTACAACCTAAATTAAGCTAAACTACTTTTCCTACTGGTTGGTTCCCTCTCCCACACTTATCTAAAAAAAATAGGAAATATGTAAATGAGATATGTAAAGGAAAGAAACAACCTAAGGTGTTACGGGGGCTAATAGCTCTCCTTGAAGAACTACAGGCATTCATTTTTTACTTGAAAGAACTAGCCTAGAGTGTCCTTCATAACAATCTTCCCACGCTAGCATATGGATAGAACTTCAAAGGGTCCAATCAGTTTGGCTTGTTTTCCTGACTCTGGTGTGTGATTGGTAGATAGTAGACCCTACACTTTAGCATCAGCTTTAATCTAAATAGCCTCCTCATGGGTTGATAGACGAGGCTCCTCAGGTGCCAGATCAACTATCTTGTAGTTGCCAATAGAGAGGGGGAGAGTAGTGGATGTTATCTTGATCTTCTTTTCCTTAGGATCCCCTTTCTTGCTATTCATAGCACCCACTACTGTTTCATGATTAGCTGTCTCAGTTAAGGGTGTAGAGACGACAGGGTGAAAGAAAACTGGAATTACAACTGGTCCATGCACAACACTCAGAGCACGCTGCTCCTTGAAATAGTTGAAGCACTTCTTCTTCTTCAAAGTCCTCGAAGCTCTACTAATACCTACATTAACATTAGAAACAAGGCCTCTCTCAGGCTTAAGGGGTTTAGTAGAAGACTTCCCAAGTGTATCATTAGCAATAGTAGAATCTGATGGAGTAGGAAGGGTGTAATCTAACTGATGGACAGTAGAACAACCTGTAACACCTTACTTTTAACATACGTAATAGGCTCAGCGGAAGTCTTTGGAAGCATTTTGGATGGTCACAAAGTTTGGAAAACATAGAAAATTTTAACCCTTTCTCGGGTTACTATTCACTTTTGCTTAAAAAGTGACCAAACTTTAAAAATTCATATCTCGAGCTACAGAACTCGAAACTGAGTGCTTCCAAATTCTACGGAAAGCTTATTCCATATCCTTTTGAGGAAAAATACTTTGGGAATTTATTTCCTTGAAAATCAATACCAGTTTCGTTTTGAAAAGTTACTGTTCATTTGGTCAATTTTCCATTTTCCACTTTATTTTAGCCCAACTTTGGAAAGGCATAACTTTTTGCGTAGTTATCGGATTTCGGTGATTCAAATCTCATATTGCAGATAAAAATACAAGCTATCTGCTCACCGAATCCTAGGTCCTAACTCACTCGTATGTGGACTTTGACTCGTATGTGGACTTGGAAGGATAAAGTCTCTCTTTGGACCTAGAGCTATCATACCATCATATAAGCATGCAAATAACTTCATAATAACATCTAGCATGCTTTTCTACCATGCATGAAGACATAAACCCTAAAACATACTTTAATTACATAACTTTGCAAATAGGGTTTTTCTATGTCTTCTTGAATTTCCAACTTCTTCAAGATACTTTACCTTTTCTTCTTGGCCACCTCTTTGCCCTTGCTCTTGGCTAGTGAAGGCCCTAGGGTTTTGTTAAATATGGGGGGTAAGATTCTTGGGAATCTTAGTAGTAATACATCACAATTATGGTTACAACTTAACATGTCATTTAGCTATATGCAAACATACACATAAATATGTGACTTGCCATGGAATTTAAACACATAACATTATCATATCATGACATAGCATATCATCTCCATGTATCAATATCATAACATAAAAATCATGGAGGCATCATGGCATAAAATAAAGCATACATAGCATAAAATGAACATGTATGTAACACTTATAAATAGGATGTAAAACTACCTTTACTTGGCTCTTTTTCCTCTTCCAAACCGTGGCCCTTCTTTGAGGTTGTATAAAGCCTATTTAACAACCAACAATGCCACTTAGATCATTACATAAACCCCATAATTTAACTCTAGCTCAAAACCCTTTTATCTTGAATTTTGGCCTAACTTTCTTAACTTAATTCTTGAAACTTTTAAGGGCTAATCCTACATGATTTTTCATGTAGAATCCAAATATGGAATTGGTTTTATGAAATTCCATTCCCTCCTTAAAATTTCTCTAGGCCGTGACATGTAGGGACTTAGGGTTCCAAAATCCTTTTAAAAATTCATGCTTCCAACTTTGCTTTCTTGGTGTATTTATACACAACACCATTTTCTAAACTCATTGGAAGCATCAATTAAAATCAAAACATTTTCCTTTGTAAACCCTACTTAGGCCGTGACATAGCTCAAAGTGAAAGGGAAGGATTTTTCATGAAAAGCTCTTTGAAATCTCTTGATTCAAGCCCTTAAACAAGCTTTAATCTTAACCTTAAACCTTTTGAACTAACTTTCATCATTTTTAGGAATTTTGGACAGCACCTCCCCTAGGTTTTATCCATCCAAAATTCACCCAAAGATGAGGAGAAACTAAGAACAAATGAACTAGGGAAGAAGAGAACACTTACTTGAACTTTGTCCTAGCTTTTCCTCTTGGTTCTCTCTTCTTTCTCCCTCTTGGAAAATTTTTTCCATAGTTTCTCTTCTCTTTTCTCTTGTGCCGTGAATGCTCCTCCTTGGTGTCTATTTATAGACAAAAATTAGGGTTGAACTGTTGGTTATTTGCATAAAGGTCCTTGGTGCAAGATTACATCCTAGCCTTTCATTTTGTCTTGATCTTGAACTTGGCTCACATCAAGCCACGTTTCAAGCTTTGTTTCCACTCAAGACAAGTCATCTTTCATGGTTCTAATTTAACCACAACTCATTCTTATCTTAGTGCTATAATAGCCTCTTAATATGGTCACATGTTGATTTTATTACATGGTGGCAAATGAAAACACATTTCATACTTCCCTTCCTTTCCTTTCTCTTGATATTTTCTCAAGACAATCTTGCTCTTCAAGCCACTAAAAATGACGCCATGCACCTCTCTTTCTTGCCTCTTTTGTTGACTTAATTGCTTGACACACAAAGAGACACAAAGGCTTAATTTCCTTGGTTACAAACTAACCAAATCTAACTTAATTATTTGGTTATAATCTAACCAAATCATAACTATTTCCTTAACCATAATTGGACCATAATTCATCATCTTTTCTTGGGCATTAATTAATCATATATTTATGCCAATTTTCGTAATAATTATTAGGCATAATTTATGTCACATGATTTTATCACATAATGACATATTTTGGCCTTAATTAATCAAGGTTAATTCCTTTAATTACCTTGACCAATTTTCTTAATCCTCTTTGACTTTTTTTTAAAGTCAATATAATCTATTTTTGACCACTTAAATTCTCCAACACTTGTGGCACAAACCTTATTAAATTAATTAGGGATTAACTTATAATTAGGTTACAAAATAAAAGTCAACTCCTTTGGTCAACATTTTATTTTTACCTAATTTTTCCCTAATTATTTCATAAATCCATTTTCTTCATAAAAATCACTTTTGGGGTTTTATTAAATATTTTCGTACCCCAGGCTTCCGGACAATTCACTTATTCCTGAATGATTGTCCGTTTAATTTATCGGTAACCCGATAAAATCCACTATCTCAAAAATCATATATCAGATCCCTGTAATTTTCTCCTTATTACAAGGGTGATCCATGATTTACCTGAGAATTTTCTGAACTCTCAGTTGCTTAGAAATCCCATTCCTGAGAAATCGGGCTTTCTACCAATAAGAATTCTACCGTAAAATCCATTATCCGGTATTTTTGACTGTAAATCCGTAAAATACCCCTAATTATTTCAGTCCAAATATCCGGTATTTTTGACTGTCTCGAAAAATTCCAGAAAAATTCTCATAATTCTTTTAGACCTCAAGTATCATTGTTTGCTATTTAGTTTCCTTTTTACAGCCCTTCTGGAAATATTGAAATTTCCATTATCCAATCTTATCAGATAATTTTCCCCTATCTACCGGTGTCCAATTTACACCAGCCAGATATTTTTGGGACTTTCTCATTATCCTTAACATTCTTCTCACATCAATTCTCCATTACGGGCTACTTCATTTTTTACCTGTACTTTTAGGGCTATTAGGGTTACAAAATTCAGGATGTTACACAACCCGCATCACTACCATTAAAAAGGGAGGGGGAAACAAAATCAGAAGCAGGGGATGAAACATGTATTTTATTAACATTATAAAGCACATCAATAAACAACCCATCAACAAAATTAACATCACATATAGAATAACCTTCATGTGGTTGTTTCATTTGTTCATACATATTGAAATAAGTAAATTTATCCTCAACAAACGTGGTGATAGACCCCTTTTGCATGTCAATGTTAGTATTAGCAGTTCTTAAAAAGGGTCTACCTAAAATTAAGGTCCTATCCTCATCTTGTTCATTAGGCATATCCAAAACATACAAATCGGCAGGATAACTAAGTCTTTGACTTTCACTAGGATATCCTCTAAGAAGCTATGTGGGTACCTCATGGTCCTATCAACTAACTAGAGCCTCATAGTGGTAGGTTTAAGACTTTTGATTTGTAAGAACTCATACATTGACTTGGGCATAACATTAATGGCTGCACCTAAATCAAGTAAAGCCTTAGGAATAGTTGTCCTACCTACAGTACAAGGTATAGTAAAGGAACCAGGGTCATGACATTTAATTAGGAGTTATGGTTTAAACAAAGCAGACACACTAGAGGGCAACTAGACTCTTTCATTAGGTTTAAACTTCCTCTTATGTGTGCTCAACTCTTTTAAAAGTTTAGCATACTTAGGGACCTTTTTAATCAGTTTAAGCAAGGGTATATTCACTTCAACTTTTTTGAAAGTTTCAAACAACTTATTATCTTATTTTTCATTAGCAATTTTCATACTTTTCAAGTAAGAATGAGAAAAAGGGAGTTCATTGAGATTTACCTCCTTACCCTCATTGCTCACGACTCTATGAGTGCTTGTTTCTGATTTGTCTTTCCTCTGTTTGTCCTCACATTTTGATCCTTCCATAGTATTTTTCTTTTCTTGTGTGTCTTTATTTTCTTGGGATCTCTTCCCCCCAAGAAGTTCCTCCTTCTTGGAACTTTCATATTTGCCCAACCTCATAGGAGTGAGTGAAGAACTCTCTATTTCTTGCTTCGATGCATCTTTGTCTACCTTTTCATCCTCAAAGTGGACCTTTCTACCACTTCTTAAGAATATCGCATTAAGAGCTTTAGGATTGATCACTGTGTTGGAAGGAATGCTACCCCTATTCTTGGCTTGTATGTCATTGACCGTGTTAGACAGTTAGGTCAAATGACTAGTGATATTGGTGTTCTTCAAGGTAAGCTTGTCTAATTTCTTGTGCACATCTGAGTTATCTTTCTACATCCCTTACAGTATGGTAGTTATGGAGACGAACTTGTCATCACTCTCCTTCATTCATCCTTCTATGTTTATCATCTGTGCAGCCATACTCTTCAAAAGTTGAGAAGTGTCATCCCCTCTCGATGGTGGTTGAGATACCATAGGTAGTTGAAGCGTTGTAACTATTGCTCTTGAAGGGTCTTGAAAATTGCTTGAGGAAGCCTTAACATTGTGAAACTGATTGCCTTAGAATTGATTTGGCCTATTTGCTCCTCCTCCCCATTTAAAGTTAGGGTGGTCTCTCCAACCAGGATTATAGGTATTAGAGTAGTGGTCCCTTTTTTGATATTGCCCCTCTCTATTTTGGTACATTGCATTGACTTCTTCAACCAGTCCAAGGCAATTTGGTGTACTATGCATCAGAGAGTCACAAACCCCACAACTTGTAGCCACTAAAGCAAGAGATTGTGGCTTGCTGGAGCGAAGACTTTCAACTGTATTTGTGAGCTTAGACATGTCTTGGGCTAGCTTAACTAAAAGTGGATCTCTTTCAGTTTTGTAATCCCTTGGATCCCTTAAGCCTACATGTTGTCGGTTGAGAGCAAAAGTTCTTATTAACTCCCATGTAGCTCGTGGTTCCATATTCTCCATGGATCTATTTACAGCAGCATCCAAGACTTGGGCATCACAGGGCAACAAACCATTATAGAACTACTATACCAAGTGCTCCACAAGGATTTGATGGTTGGGGCACCGGGTAAGTATTTCTTGAAACCGGCTTCAAAATTGAAAGAATGACTCGAATGGTTCTTGCTTAGCTATTGAAATTTCCTTGCTAGTAGTTGAAATTTTGGTGGAGGGGGAATACTTGTCCAAAAATGCTTTCTTTAGACTAGTCCATGACTCGTAAGCATTGTCTACGTAGAGCGGCAAGTTCATGTACCATTCTTTTACTTTTCCCTATAAGGAAAGGTAAAATACCTTCCATATGACATCATTAATGCTTGCTCCCACTGGCTTCATCGACAAACACTGCATGTAAAGAGTCCGGAGATGAAGGTATGGGTTTTCTCCTGCTAGACTATGAAACTTAGGTAATGAGTAGATCAATTGACCTTTAATTTCAAAATCTACATTAAAAGTAGGAAAAACACTAGGCATAGGTTCAAAATTCCCATCAGATTGAGTTAATTCCTAAATAATTCTACCCCTAGGTTGTCCAAGGATCCTATTCTGGCCATTAGTCTCTTCCTGCCCCTCATTACCACTATTATTAGGTCTATTATGATTGCCATTCCCATTTCCACCATTCAGAGGTATTTCAACTATGATTTCCTCTTCTACTTCCTCACTCTCACTAGATGAATAGGATTGGTCTCATAAAAGAAGTGGGCTATAGGATCCTGTATGTCTACCTCTCCTACCTCAACATGCTCTAGGTATGCACAATTACTCAAAATCAAGCACAAATAGAGTAAAAGAGAAAAGTAGTGTCAAAACTTTGATATTTACCAAGTGTATATTTTAAAACTGAGGCAAACTCAATGATTTCAAATAATGCTTAGTGAGTTTGATGTGTATGAAGTGCTATACACTCTCAAAGTATGTGCAGAAAGCAAAGGTATGCAAAAGAATAAGTCTAGACACTTAGAAAATATTTTTAGTGCAAAACAGCTTAGGTCGCGACTTATAGTACCCAGGTCGTGACTTGAGTTCACAGAGAGCAACCTTGAAAGGAAAAGGAAATGATGTCGCTACTTTAAAAAGTCTAGGTCACGACTTAAACAGACTGAGAGCAATATTGGAAAACAAAAAGTAGAGGTTGTGACAAGCCACAAGTTAGGTTGCGACTTAAGCACTAAGGTTGCTACTTCAAAGATATGAGGTCGCGACTTCACTTCACAGAGAGATACTTTCACAAAACCTTTGAAAAATTCACCAAGTACTTTAACTAGATGCTCAATAAACTATGCACAGAGTTCAAAATTTCAAGCAATTAGCCAAAACACTCAAGATCAAGTTAAAACAAAATGCAAAATGTTGTGTAAGAATGCAAATACCAAAGTATAAAAAAGCAAGATATTTGTTTCTATTTGTTAAAATTTTTATGCTATGAAATGCAGAAGCTAAGTTCAAAAACTAAAACTCAACGAGAATTGACCCAAATCACAATGGTATGAAAAACTAATGGTGCCATTGATCGGACTAGGATGTCACCTTTCGGGT